TATATATATATATATATATATATATATATGTATATATATGTATGTATGTATATCAATCGCTTTCCTTTAAATTTTTTTTTGAAACAATTTGAAAAAAATATTATGAAGGTACTCCTGATTTATCCAGAATTCAATGATGGGACGCCACGTGTCAAGTGGACCCCATTATTTATATAATCGTTTTTCAACAAATGGTGACATAATTTTAGAAGGGTTAACAAGATAATTTTCTTAATGTGTTGAAAATATATGAGACGATAAAAGATGATCATCTTTCGACATGAGAAATAAAGTGTCTCTCTTATTCAAACTTATAGTTTTGCATGCATCATGTTCGAATCAAAATATCATTATTAATAATAGAATTTCATCTTTTTCATGCATGAACTTTTAATACTAGAATATTCAGAACATTAAGTGTTAGATGTGTAAATGCACAACAATTGTGGGGTGTGTATGTAAATCTTCCATTTTATTATATTGATTTGACAAAATTTGCATTTAATGGCATTATGAATGAAGCATAGAGGATGCGTCATCTCCCATTGCTATTTTCATATCACACAATTCATTCTTATTCCATGCAGCACATTTGTTCTGCGTTATGAAGTTCACTAACTTCTATTTTTACCATATGATTTAATAATATACACTTGCTGCAAAAGATGCGACAGACAATATGTGGATTCAAAGGAAAAATGATATGTTTAGAGGAAGACATTTGTTTTTGCATCTTATTACATCTTTATGGTAGCCATTAAAATGCGTATTTTTAAATTATTATTTTGTAGGACAATAATGAAAATATTTTAATTTGAAGATTGATGCAGGAAGGTATTTATTGTTATCCCCTTGATAATGTATATATGTGCTTATTATTACATTATGAATGGGCTAATGATATTTTGCTTAAGGAAAGCCTTGCTTTTCGAGCGAGTTTTATCTTATAGCCTGGTTGTCGTCTGGGATCTATTTGTTGTCGTTGTGTGCTCTAAATTAATTCGCAGCGGTAGAGTTTAATTAGATTAATGTCTTAGTGTCGTACAAAATACAGTACACACACATTTATGATAAAAAGAACAAGTAGCGACACTATAATTTCTTATGTGGATAAGCCCTCAGAAGAAAAAAACCAAGGTCTAGTCTAATAAAAATGACACAAGATAAGTTTGTGAGTAAGGGTATGAATCTTTATCTTACAACTGGGAAAGGGGATACAAGGTTTCTCCAAGTACAATGTATGTATGGAGAAATGTTTATTATATAACGGTCATGAGCAATTGCTACCGAAGCTATCGGTGGATATATGGTTATGTCATGTTGGGGGTACGCCATTGAAGGGTATTTAGAACGATGTGTTACTTTTTATGGTGATTTGTTACTCTGTAAAGTATGTCGTTACTCCGTAACGTACGTTGTTACGCCATAAGATGCTTCATTGCAACATACATCGTTACTCCACAAGGTCCACCAATGATGACAAGCAAGAAGCGGTTGATAGTAGTCGACGATGGCTGACAGGTAGTAGTCGATGGTGGTAGCTAGCTACGGACGCAGAAAATGATTGTCAGGTTTTCGATCAGAAATAAATCTGAAAATTGACTCCTCCTTATCCTCCCTTAAGTTCAAGTCTAGCTCCCGTTTCATCAAAGTAGTGGGGCTCTACTTATAGATTTTGGGAGTAGCAGTAGTCTGTATAAAAATTACATGAATCTGGACCATTCCATCGGATGACCCAGAACGATTATCTTAATTGAATGTTTTTTTTTATCGATATTTAAGTACCTTAATGACAACAAAATGAGTGATCTTAGGCTCGTCGGATTCCTCTTGATAAAACACTCAATTTAACTATGATTGTCAAATTTGGAGTCCATTTGACCATCCAATTAAACACCCTAAGCTTCCAAAAAATAGTTTAACTATTTATTTGTGCTTGATTTGACTCACATTGGAGCAATTTTAGTGTCATTGGTTTGAGTGGTTAAGCCATTTAGTTTTGCTATAATTTTTTTTGAAATACGAGCTCTGGTTAATTTTTAATTTAAATCAAAATATTTCTACCCAAAAATATCTCGAGATTTGTGTCGAATGTTTCAAGATTCATGTTGAATAATAAATTTATTGATAATTTCACTCCCTCATATGAATGTTATCAAAATAATGAAAATCATGAAAAAAAAAAACATAAAAGATTATTAAAATTTTGGATTTACTTGGCGGCGATCTTCAATGGCTAATGACAGTGGAAGTTGGTGGCCAGTGGCAGTGCCGCAGTTGACGATGATAGCACGACTGAAAAGGAGAAGCACGAGACAGCAGAGCGGGCGAAGCGGGTCAAGCTAATGTGAGGTTGAACTGCCTTTGGGTTGGGTCGACTACGTTGAGCGATCAGACGACACGAACAGGCTAGACCTACAATCAGAGCCACAAGATCGTCTGCCACCTCACGCTGTGCGAAATCACACAAATCACGCGATCATTTGTGCAAAACTTTGGAACGAATTTTTTTCGAACCAACTTCAAGTCAGACATGGATCGACTCAAAACTGACTCGAGATCTACTCGTAGTATATTTAGTTATAAAAAATATATATAGTGCCAAGTAAAATTGAACATAATGAGTAATGAGCCAATTTTATACCGATTTCAAGTTGAAATTAATCCAAATAACACAATTGGAGTCAATCAGTTTCAATTTTGAGCCCAATCGAGCCGATTCCGAGCTGAAAATAATCCAAATAACTCCATTCGAGCCCCCTTGTTCCTATTTCGAGCCAGACATGGCTCGAGATCAAATGTAGCGAGCCACAAGCCAATTTCAATCCTCACAAAATCTATTAAATCCGATTTCAAACCAACCCCGACTCAACTCAAAATAGGATCGTTAACAGGCCTACTCATCCGCCATCTGTGGAGATCCGAATGAGGCTCGGGTTCCTTTCTCTCTAACTCTTAAGATTAATAAAACTCGCATCTATCAATATCAAAGCAAGCCATAGACATTAGCCACATATTGGAAAGCAACATCCTTAAATAAGGGTTCATTAAGATAATACTTTATTGTTTATCAAATCATAATTTTATTCAAAGAGTAAAGACTGATTGATGTTGATGATAATGAGAGGGACCAAGACTGACCAACCCCGGCAAGTAAGGTATCAACCTACATTGTTTTTTCTTATTTTTTTAATCCTAATTAATGAATGTGATGGAAAGTCATTAGACCGCATTAAAACACATTATACAGGCTATATCATGCATTAAATCAATGGAAATAAGCTTTAAATGCATACGACTAATCCCCAATTAATTACCGAATTAATTAATCAATGCTATTTATTCATTTTTTGAGCCATTAATTATGTGTTTCATATCTAGCACCTAAACATCCATATTAACATCACATTAAAAATACCATCATTATTATACTTTTAAAAGGGTAAAAATCAAAATTTGAGTATTACATATGTAAATAAGTAAGAATTGTGTGGTATGCATGTAAGTTTACCTTTTTATTTATGGCATTTGGTGTTGCATTTATGTTGCTTGCAAGTGGGTGCAGGTTTCATTTGGTTCATTGAGATCTCCCTGTCACCTGCAATATTTTTATTTTTCATGTACACATACATACGTGCGCAGACTGAATTTATGATCTAGTGGTTAAGTACAAAGTTGTCAATCATTACATTTTGTGGGCGCCGCCTGCAATATAAATATGACTAATTTACAACCCTAACTAAAGATAAAGAATAGTTACATACAGATCATTCAAATATGACAATTTACAAATCAATATGATATGGTTGATTTGTAAATATCAATATTTTTGGGGTCTGTATGTAATTTTTTACTTTTAACAATTATTTTACTCCCAATTATGCATATTTAGAGTAAAAAACTATATGGCCTCATTGTAATGGTTCAAAAGCACAACATCCAACTTTGAATAATCACTAAGAGTCTGTTTGGGACAGTTTGTATTTTTCAGGATAAGTTGTTTATCCGTGGGCCCCGGGTCGACTGCGGGGGTCGACCTGCGAACTACATTTAGTGTAAAAAAACCAAACGAGGTAGGCGGCGTTTTAAAAAACACACAAACCAAAGGGTTAAACAGTGTTTTCAAAAACATCGCTGCACTTATAAGCTGCCACAAGCGTGCCCTAAATCGAAGTTGTCATAGTTATAAGCATGATATGATTAGTGTTCTGAAAATAATCCTAAGATGTGATGTTCAAATGCTTGATTGAAAAGGATATGAGTGAATTGTTACCAGATTTTCGTCCTATTTGTTGTCGCTTATGAAGCTGCTTGGCTTCAGCGATGGCTAATTTCAGTTTCATCCTTCTGCTCACTTTCAAGCTGCCGGTCTCCATCTAAACGAGAATTATACTTATTTAAATCAAATTTAGTAAATAGAGACATACTTCATATAATGCCATCATTGCCAATTAGTTTATTTTAATTAAAAAAATGTTAGCTGGCACTTTTGTAATT